GTGTGATGATATTGGATGTGTTGCTGACAGCTGTCCTGCCCTTAAAAGACACACACCTGTTTTGGGTTTACTGGTTTCGAGAAGCACTGTCTGATGTGAACCATGCCTCGCAGAAAAGAGCTCTCAGAAGACCTACGATCAAGAATTGTTGACTTGCATGAAGCTGGAAAGGATTACCAAAGTATCTCCAAAAGCCTTGATGTTCATGTGTCCACGGTAAGACAGACTGTCTACAAATGGAGAAAGTTTAGCATTGTTGCTACTCTCCCTAGGCGCGGTCGTCCTGTAAAAATTACTGCAAGAGCACAGCGCAGAATGCTGCATGAGGTAAAGAAGAATCCCAGAGTGTCAGCTAAAGACCTACAGAAATCTCTGGCACATGCTAACATTTTTGTTGACACATCTACAATAAGGAAAACATTAAACAAGAATGGAGTACATTAGAGGACACCACGGATGAAGCCATTGCTGTCCAAACAGAATTTTGCAGCACGTTTGAAGTTTGCAAAAGAGCACCTGGATGTTCCACAGCACTACTGGCAGAATATACTGTGGACAGATGAAACCAAGATTGAGTTGTTTGGGAAGAACACACAACACTATGTGTGGAGAAAAAAAGGCACAGCACACCAACATCAAAACCTCATCCCCACTGTAAAACATGGCGGAGGGAGCATCATGGTTTGGAGCTGCTTTGCTGCCTCAGGGCCTGGACGGATTGTTGTCATTGATGGGAAAATGAATTCCAGAGTTTATCAAGACATTTTGCAGGAAAATGTACGACCATCTGTCCGCCAACTGAAGCTCCGCAGAGGATGGGTGATGCAACAGGACAATGACCCAAAGCATACAATTAATTCAACAAAACAATGGCTGCAACAGCACAGAATACGCCTTCTGGAGTGGCCCAGTCAGAGTCCTGACCTCAACCCGATTGAAATGCTGTGGCATGACCTTAAGAGAGCAATTCACACCAGACATCCCAAGAATATTGCTACACTGAAACAGTTTTGTGAAGAGGAGTTTTCCAAAAGTACTCCAGATCATTGTGCAGGTCTGATCTGCAACTACAGGAAACGTTTGGTTGAGGTTATTGCTGCCAAAGGAGGAGGGTCAACCACTTATTAAGTCCAAAGGTTCACATACTTTTTCCTCCCTGCACTGTGGATGTTTACATGTTATGTGCAATTAAACCATGGGCAACATCTAATGTTTGTGTGGTATTATGTTCAGCAGACTGTGTTCTTCTATTGTTGTGACTTAGATGACATTCAGAGCACATTTTATGCCCAATTCATGCAAAACTCCACGTAATCCCAAGGGGTTCACATACTTTTTTTCTTGCAACTGTATAGTCCCCAGTACTTGGCGTTCAATCAAGACTTTGTGTACAGCAAACCAATTTGTCCTCTTCTATTCACAATACTTCAAAACAAATAAACTCAACATTGCATTATCCTTAAATGCAAGTATAATAGGTGCGTGTGAATTACAATCCGTGTCCACGTGATTAATTAATAAATACCTTCCCTAACCAAAATTAATAACCAATACTTAATGCTCCAAACTCCTCATACACAGTGAGTATTTGCCACGCCACACTCTAAATAGTGACCATACAGTGAGTATGTGCCACAGCACACTATGAAAAGTGATCATAAAGTGCAATCAATCCGGGGTATCTCCTGTCAATCCATGTACCTTACCGAATCAACAGGTGGTGTAGGCTAAGTCAGTCAAATACAGTGCTTCAGGACTCTGCTGCCCCTACAAGGTCAGCTATTATTCCTGTGATGTGAACTGGTGCCACGCCAAACTTCAAAAAGTGGTCAATATCCTCCATGGTCTAATTATTAAAGCACCTCTCAACCAATATACCTTACCAGAAGACAGGTAATGCAAGCTTGACTCAGACCCAATAGTCTCCACAGGGTACTATAACCAATGCTCACCTCAGGTCCTCGTAGGGCTGCTCCGAGCTGTCCAACCTGTTATTTTACTCCAGTACACCTCTGACCACAGATACTCACTGCCTTAGGTGAGTCACTTTTCATAGTGTGGTGTGGCACATACTCACTGTATGGTCACTGTGACAGGAGTCACTTTGGGTGGAATCCAGCTCACTTTGGAGACGTGGGGAGACCCCTGTCTCAGCTCCCCATATCCCTCTTATGTGTAAGTCACCCTGTGCCTGTTAGGGGTACAGGGTGATCTGTCCTAATATTGTGTAGATATGTATAGGTGGGGTGGGGGGTTGTGGATTGTTTGGTGTTATGTGGCTGCATCCCATTGTTCTATTGTGTGTCTTGCTTGGGAGTAAACCATTATGGGATGTACAGTATGTGTTTATGTGTATTGGCTTGGTGCGGGGGGGGGGGGTGTCTCCAGCAGCCCTCCCTCCTGATAGGACTGTCTGCTGGTGTGTCTCTTGTTACTAAATGTAGATTGCCCCGCCCTATGTCATTATGCAGGGAGGGGGGATTGTTCCCTTGAATGTATATATCTTGTATCTGTGTTAAAATAAACTAGTCTGCATCCTGGTTTACTTCAAGAATGGTGTTGTCTAGTCTTGTATGGTCAACTGTGGTGTCTGTTGTCAGTTTTCAGATGGGGAAGCAGTATTCTAATGGAAGTACCCAAGTGCAGACTGGGTTGCTTCCATTACAGTCACTATTTAGAGTGTGGCGTGGCACATACTCACTGTGTATGAGGAGTGTGGCGTATTAAGTATTGGTTATTCATTTTGGTTAGGGAAGGTATTTATTAATTAATCATGGGGACATGAATTATAATTCACATGCACCTATTATACTTGCATTCAAGGATAATGCACTATGTTGAGTCTATTTGTTTCGAGGTACTGTGAATAGATGAGGATGAATTGGTTTGCTGGGGACTATATGAAGATCTAAATAAGGTGCATGGACCTATATTAATAACCAACATATTGAACATTGATTTATATTCACAGGGACTGACACTGTTATATGTAGGGTGACCGGATACTGTATATATTAATAAGTGATTATGGACTCTTTAGAAGACCCTCTGGCACTCTTTTTGTCTTTTTTTGGGGGATTCCTCAATTTGGGAGGCCATGGCTCCTTTGGAGGGAACCCGCTTTGTGGTAGAGCCACAAGGTTAGGTCATCAAGCCCAACCAACACCTCTTGCTTGAAGGACAAAGGACCAAAGTCCAGTGCTGCACATTTTTTCTGGGACTCACTTTTTCAAAGGCAGTAAAGTAATTCAGCTTAGTTAAAGTACAACCTCCAGTTGACTGGGTCATTGGGAGCTATAGAGCTAGAGAGACAAAGAGCCCAAAGAATAGCATAGGACAAATGCCCTTCCACGCCCCAGCTATGATGACCATGAAGAAATAATATATACCTACTAGAGCTCCCTCTACTTTTGACTCATGGTTGGATGGAAGGCTTAGTGTAGTTCAACCTTTTCAACACAGAGGAACCCTTGAAATAACTTTTCGGTCTCAGGGAACCCTTGCTAAAAATTACTATATCTACAACTCATGGTAATATTAGTGTGATGGTCAATGAGAAGAATGCTCCTAAAGCCCCATACAGATGATGAGAATATTGGCCAAATGATTGTCCACATTATATTTGTATGCTAGTCTCATATCAATAATGAAAAGGTTACTAAAGTTACAAAAATTCTTATGGAACAGAAATAAAATTTGGAAGTGATGTAATACATTGTATTGTAATTGTATTTTTGGACAAAAATTGTACTGATTAAAGAAAAATCGTATGATCTGGTATCATATGAGAAAACTTTTTTTGCTTTTCCCTTTCAATAATTTCAGGCGAAAGCTGTATTAACAATTAGATTATCATACGATTGCTTCGAAAGCGGAATTTTTTTGTATGATTTTTTGATCGTGTGTTTACTAGGCTTTACACTTATAGTCCTTGGGAAGAATTACCCCCTTACCGAGAGCTAAAAGATCAATGGTGTCAGTGGGAACCTATTTGAGAGGCAGAAGTTGCTCAATGAACCCCTAGCAGCCTCTGCAGGAACCTTAGGATTCTGTGACACCTTGGCTGAGAAACCCTGGTATGGTATAAAACTTTTGGTAGTTACATTTTCAAGAGGTCTTTATATCTGACCAAAAAGAGCGACAACTTAGGAAAAACAAGGGAACGAGGACATCGGTTTCAAAAGATAGACTGACTCTCCAAACGGAGGACAATTGAGAGTTATGGAGTACAGATCGTCCCTTCGCAAGTCCTGCTTGGCTTAGAATGCAACCCCTCCCTCTTCCAGTGTGAGTGCTGCTCTTAAGCATTTTATAGGAAAATAATATAAAGACATTTTCAGATAATAACTAGTTCTGTTTCAAAATAAATTAAAATAGGATTAAACCCTCAATGTTTAAGCACTTTCAGCAGCTGATTTAATCACTTTATTGGGTATGTAGCTTATCTGGTAAATCCTAGTATGTACTAGTTTAAGTTGGAGCCATGACCACTGCTCTTTCAAGGTGGCTCCTTTCTCCAACAGCATCCTATGGAGCCACCTTGCATGGAGGGACTAGAGCTGGGTCTCCTTACTTATACTAGTTTAATGAGTTCTTAACACATACTGTAAGTGAACTAAACTGTTTTAAATATTTGCCTGGAATTCACCTTTAAAGTGATTTTGTCTCTTGTGAAGCTAGATCACATTGTTGTAGAACACGTAGGAACCATGTGGAAATGACGTCCATCTTGACATTCATGCTGCCATTGAATTATAATGAAGACATTACACACAATAAATACTGATGACTTCTGTTACAAATTGAAGCCATCGTTGTTGACTCGCTGATGTGGCATTTGTTTTCCTTTTCACCTGCATCTACCACGTTATCTTCATGTCTAATTTGTAGGCTGATGAAACTTTTGGATGGTGAAGTGCTGTAAGGCTTGTGCTGTGTTTCTCCCTGGATGACGTGCTGATTGTGAATCGATATAACCTGACTGGCAGTAAGGACATCTCTCATGGAAGCAAACGGTGCCACATGGCTATCTGTCTCCTGGGGTTGTTAATCATCTCTTGCCAATGACTTTTTCCTGTAGCAGTCAGATCTGACCCCAGACTGCAGGTACCCAGGGAGTAACTTGGGCCCCCACCAGGTTCCTGGCAGAGCATATCCATCTCTACTCTGACCTCTTTCAGCAGCTCCGATGGCACCTCGAACATGATCATCTCATTCCAGACAGGATTAATTTTGTGCTTTGCCCTTTTGCTTTGTTTCTTCTTGAGTCTCTGAGACTTATGCCAGAGAGTGACCTTCATGTAGAGATCTACAGAGAGACAAAAGTATTGATCCATGCATTATGCACACATACTACTCTGCAGATTGCCATTCCACCTTTAAAGCAAACCTAAGGCCAGATTTTGGACATTCAAGTATATTTTAAGTATGTTGTACTTAAACAGTAAATTAACTTTAGACAGTCATCCCTGAACTATGTAGCTGTAGGCGCTGTGGAGTAATTAATCTTCAAGGTAGATGTACTGAATGCAGGGACTAGAGTTGGGGGTGTCCTTACTTATACTAGTTTAATGATTTCTTAACACATACTGTAAGTGAACTAAACTGTTTTAATTATTTGCCTGGAATTCACCTTTAAAGTGATTTTGTCTCTTGTGAAACTAGATCACATTGTTGTAGAACATATAGGAACCATGTGGAGATGACGTCCATCTTGACATTCATGCTACCATTGAAATATGATGAAGACATCACACACAATAAATACTGATGACTTCTGTTACAAATTGAAGCCATCGTTGTTGACTCGCCAACGGTGGCACGTTAAGACAGTCATACCTGAACTATGTAGCCGTAGGCGCTGTGAAGTAATTAATCTTCAAGGTAGATGTACTGAATGCAGGGACTAGAGTCGGGTCTCCTTACTGATACTAGTTTAATGATTTCTTAACACATACTGTAAGTGAACTAAACTGTTTTAATTATTTGCCTGGAATTCACCTTTAAAGTGATTTTGTCTCTTGTGAAACTAGATCACATGGTTGTAGAACATATAGGAACCATGTGGAGATGACGTCCATCTTGACATTCATGCTACCATTGAATTATGATGAAGACATCACACACAATAAATACTGATGACTTCTGTTACAAATTGAAGCCATCATTGTTGACTCGCTAATGGTGGCACTTTAAGACAGTCATCCCTGAACTATGTAGCTGTAGGCGTTGTGGAGTAATTAATCTTCAAGGTAGATGTACTGAAGTTCTTAAGTCTTTCTCTCAGCATCTCAGCTCACCCTGCTCCTCCACTCACTCTGGATTTTCTTTTATTGTTCGTATGCTGGCTGCATATCCTGCATGACAAGAAACTCAGTCTTGAAATGTCATCCACCAAGTGAAATAGCCCTGCAAAATTACCTTGTGTGGATTGGTGGGTTTACACATGGGGGGTGGGGCAATGATTCACAGCAGCTCACATGACTTTGTTCATCTGGAACTGCTGAAACTTAGTTGACAACACATGACACACACTGCTATACTGGAATATTCACATACATCAGGAGCTGAGCTGTTGGGTCAGTGCTGAGAAGGGCGAGCAAGGTAATCTGAGCTCCTTAGTCACTGCTACGAGACGGGAGCAGGGTTAGCTGAGCTGTTGATGCACTGCTGGGAAGGGGGAGCAAGGTGAGCTGAGCTGCTGAGTCTCTGTTAAGAGAGGAGAGCAGGGTGAGCTGAGCTCCTATATCATTGCTGGGGGAGGGGAACTGAGCTCCTGAGTCACTGCTAGAAAGGGGGTACGATGTGAGACAAGTTCCTGAGTCACTGCTAGAAGAGGGGAGCAGGATAAGCTGAGATCCTGAGTAACTGCTAGGAGAGGGGAGCAGGGGGTGCTGAGCTCCTCAGTAACTGCTGGGAGGGGGAGCAAGGTGTGCTGAGCTCCTGAGTCACTTCTAGAAGACGGGGACAGAGTGTGCTAGCTTCTGAGTCACTTCTAGAAGAGGGTGGCAGGGGGGAGCTGAGCTCCTCAGTAACTGCTGGGAGGGGGAGCAAGGTGTGCTGAGCTCCTGAGTCACTTCTAGAAGACGGGGACAGAGTGTGCTAGCTTCTGAGTCACTTCTAGAAGAGGGGGGTAGGGGGAGCTGAGCTTCTGAGTCACTTCTAGAAGAGGGGGGCAGGGGGTGCTGAGCTCCTGAATCACTGCTAGGAGGGGGAGCAGGGGGTGATGAGCTCCTGAGTCACTTCTAGAAGAGAGGGGCAGGGGGAGCTGAGCACCTCAGTAACTGCTGGGAGGGAGAGCAAGGTATGCTGAGCTCCTGAGTCACTTCTAGAAGAGGGGGGCAAGGGGAGCTGAGCTTCTGAGTCACTTCTAGAAGAGGGGGGCAGGGGGTGCTGAGCTCCTGAATCACAGCTAGGAAGGGAGCAGGGGGTGATGAGCTCCTGAGTAACTGCTAGGAGGGGGAGCAGGGCATGCTGAGCTCCTGAGTAATTGCTAGGTGGAGGAGCCAGGGGTGATGAGCTCATGAGTCACTGCTAGAAGAGGAAGCAGGGTGAGCTGATCTCCTGAGTCACTGCTAGAAGAGGGGAGCAGGGGTAGCCAAGCTCCTCAGTAACTGCTAGGAGGGGGAGTAGGGTGTGCTGATCTCCTGAGTCACTGCTAGAAAAGGGGAGCTGGGTGATCCCAGATCCTGAGTCACTGTTAGTTGGGGGGAGCAGGGGGTGCTGAGCTCCTGAGTCACTGCTGGAAGAGAGAACAGAGATAAATCCAGCAGGCATGCAGGAGAGAGTGGCCAATCAGTGGCTTGTGTCATTTTTAGAATAACGAATAGTTTCTCTTCCTCCTGCATAGACCTTACCTTTTCCTAGGAGATTGTTGTTTTGATTGGAATGTATGTTCTTGGCTTTGATCAGTACCACAATAAGACGATTGGCTGCCGGCAAGTAACTCATAGACAGGAGAACTTCACTGGTGGAGTCAACATCCTGAAGATATAAAATCACCGGGTAATAAAAACTCCAGGCAAGATGACCAGCAACTCAATGCACAGTAAAATAAATAAATAAATAAATAAACTAAAAATAAATAAATAAAATAACAATAATAAATATATATATATATATATATATTTTTATTTTTTTTTTTTTTAAAACCTTTGTACATTGCAAGGATTTTGAACAATTGCTGTTGCAGATTCCTACCTTTTGTTATCCTGAAGAAATAGCTATTTATTTGTCTGTGGAGTGATTTTATAATGATCAGTCAGCTGCTGCACTTGCAGGGCTCTGATGAGGAAAGTGGCAGAGTCTGCATCCCTTTAGAAATTATTATTATTATACAGTATTTATAAAGCGCCAATAGTTTGCTCAGCGCTGTACATTACAATGGGGGACAGAACATGTGACAGAACAATAACAATACAATGCAAAACATGAGGGGATCGAGGCCCTGCTCTTTCCAGTTTACAATCTAGGAGGGAAGGGATGGTGGCACAGGAGGAGATAGCTGTGGGGGACGGGGTGGTAGGAAGAGTGGAGGAGGTCGGCAAGTTAGCAGGGGGTGGGGTAGGCTTCCCTGAAGAGATGGGGTTTCAGGGTGCGCCTAAAGGAGAGGAGAGTAGGTGATAATCTGATGGGTTGGGGCAAGGAGTTCCAGAGGATGGGTGACACCCTGGAGAAGTCCTGGAGGCGGGCATGGGAGGAGGAGACCAGGGAACTAGAGAGAAGGAGGTCTTGTGAGGAGCGGAGTGTGCGTGTTGGGTGGTACTTAATTTCCCTTTCGGAGCATCTCACCAAACATAACATTTTTGTTGCAGGGGATGTCCAAAACCTGACTTGCATCTTAATTCAGAGTTCTGGGAAAAGCAGCAAGTCCATCACTCAGTAACACAATATCACGCACTGATTATATTGCATCCAGAGACAGGTAAAAAAAACGGTGAAAGGTTTGGAGGATAAAACATATCAAGAACGACTTCAGGAACTTAACCGTTTCAATACCGGGCAATTTTACACCTTCCTGCCCAGGCCAGTTTTCAGGTTTCAGCGCTCTCACACTTTGAATGACAATTGCGCGGTCATACAACATTGTACCCAAACTAAAATTTTATCATTTTCTTCACACAACTAGAGCTTTCTTTTGGTGGTATTTAATCACCGCTTGACGGCCAATCTAATTTCTTGAGGTCCAAGAATGTCAGAACAGTACAGATATCCCCCAAATGACCCCTTTTTGCAGAGTAGACAGTCCGACGTACTTCATAAGAGGAATGGCGAGTTTTTTGAAGTTGTATTTTTTTTGTCATACTTTTTCGGAAAATGAAAAAATTTAAAAAATTATTTGGCGTATTATAATGGCGTGCACCCGGAATGCAGGGACACAATTGAAGCCGCCAAACGGCCATTGGCCGGGCGGCTAATGGTTAAATACGTCAATAAGGTTCAGGAGGGCAGGATTTTCAACATGAAATCAAAATCAAGAACACGGGACGTGACCTTCAACTAACTGGAGGAAAGTTCAACACTAATCTCAGAAAGTATTATTTTACTGAAGAAGGAGTAGTTGATGCTTGGAATAAACTTCCAGCAGAGGTAGTGAGACAGGCAACAGTAAATAGCTTCAAATATGTGTGGGACAAGCATAGATTTATACTCCGACAAAAAAGACAAAAACAAACACCCCCCACCCAAAAAAAAAAAAACAAAAACGGGTAGACTCGATGGACCGCTTGTTTTTTTTTTTTCTGCCGGCACTTTTCTATGTTTCTATTCAGCTGATCACAGCTATATGTACTATATATTTATAGTTTCCCTAAGGGCCAGTTCACACTCCATGCGTTTCAGCTGCTTTGTTTTCTGCATCCAAAACGCACAGAAAGTAGGTGATATGGTCGTCAATGTCATAGTTCACATCAGTGCTTGCAGTTCCAGTGCGTTCCGGTGGCAGAAAAAAAAGTAGAACAGGCTGCATTTTTTCTGCACAGAACTGTACTGGAATGCAGTAAAAAGCACCAAAAACACACCGGAACACACTGGAATGCACCAAAAATGCACATGTTCCTATTTAAAGTGTTACTAAACCCACAACAGTACAATCAGTCTGTATATGCAGTAAAGCGTGCTTGGTATACTCACTGTAGAACCTAAGGGGTTAATCCTCTGCATTTTGTAAAAAGCCTGTTTGATCCTGTCTTCTCTGCCCCTCCTCTTGTTGAAATGGCCACCTGATACAGACTGAACCAGTAGTCACTAACACATGCTCAGTTTTTGGTGTGTATTGCTAGAAAGGTTTTTTTTTTTTTTTCTTTGGAGAGTGCATGTGATCAGCACAGGGAAAATCAGCACTGTCCAGACAGAGATCAGGGGTCCTGCATCCTCCTAGATCAGAATGAAAATTCCTCCTACAAGCTTTAATAGTGATGTAGTGAATGCAATAGGATATAGTGAATGCCGGGTCCGGGGAGACCTGATATAGTGAATGCCGGGTCCGGGGAGACCAGATATAGTGAATGCAGGGTCCGGGGAGAGCAGATATAGTGAATGCAGGGTCCTCGGAGCGAGTGGATATAGTGAATGCAGGGTCTGGGAAGACCAGATATAGTGAATGCAGGGTCCGGGAGACCAGAGATATAGTGAATGCAGGGTCCGGGGAGAGCAGATATAGTAAATGCAGGGTCCGGGAAGACCAGATATAGTGAATGCAGGGTCCTCGGCGAGTGGATATAGTGAATGCAGGGTCCGGGGAGAGCGGATATAGTGAATGCAGGGTCCGGGGAGAGCGGATATAGTGAATGCAGGGTCCTCGGCGAGTGGATATAGTGAATGCATGGTCCGGGGAGACCAGATATAGTGAATGCAGGGTCCGGGGAGACCAGTGAATAGCGGATATAGTGAATGCAGGGTCCGGGGAGAGCGGATATAGTGAATGCAGGGGATATAGTGAATGCGGGGTCTGGGGAGAGCGGATATAGTGAATGCGGGGTCCGGGAGACCGGATATAGTGAATGCAGGGTCCTGGGGAGACCGATATAGTGAATGCGGGGGCCGGGGGGAGACCGGATATAGTGAATGCGGGGTCCGGGGAGACCGGATATAGTGAATGCGGGGGGGTCCAGGGGGGAGAGCGGATATAGTGAATGCAGGGTCCGGGGGGGAGACCGGATATAGTGAATGCGGGGTCCGGGGAGAGCAGATATAGTGAATGCAGGGTCCGGGGAAGCGGGAGATATAGTGAATGCAGGGGTCCAGGGAGAGTGGATATAGTGAATGCAGGGCCGGGGAGACCGGATATAGTGAATGCAGGGTCCTAGGAGAGCGGATATAGTGAATGCAGGGTCCGGGGAGACCGGATATAGTGAATGCAGGGTCCGGGGAGACCGGATATAGTGAATGCAGGGTCCGGGGAGACCGGGAGAAATGCAGGGTCGGGGAGACCGGGATATAGTGAATGCGGGATATAGGATAATGCAGGGTCCGGGGAGACCGGATATAGTGAATGCAGGGTCTGGGGAGACCAGATATAGTGAATGCAGGGGGTCCGGGGAGACCAGATATAGTGAATGCAGGGTCCGGGGAGACCAGATATAGTGAATGCAGGGTCCGGGGAGACCAGATATAGTGAATGCAGGGTCCGGGGAGGGAGACCAGATATAGTGAATGCAGGGTCCGGGGAGACCAGATATAGTGAATGCAGGGTCCGGGGAGTTTAGTAATGCAGGGTCCACTTTAATTTGAAGGAAAAGAGAGGGAAAAATGAACTGGAATGCATGCATCAAAAACGCACCAAACACGCGCATGCAGAAACGCATCCGGAATGCATCTGGACTGCGTTTCTATAGTGTGAACTGGCCCTGAAACTAAACATCAGGTATGGAATATATTCTTTTTATTTCTCACCAGCTATCAATCTCTATAATCTAGATGTCTAAAATGGAGCTGCAATAATAAATTCCAGATTGGAGTTATCAGTGACATTTCTCCCACCAGCAGGATATTAAATCGGGGAATGATATGGATGCTACAGATTGTGATGTGTGTGGATCTATAAATAGCCACCTGAACCCCCCCCCCCCCCCCCCCCCCTTCTCTCTACAAGTGATTCAGGAATGATCCGCACCAGCCGTTTCCTCCAGGGTCCTGGATGACGCAGACAGCCATCTCCGCACTAATCTAGGACAGGCTGATCCGGGAGGAGATGCCGCAGGTCTATGCTCTCTAACCACAGCTCATACGCTGCCACTGAGATACAGCTCTTATTAAAGTGCACCTGTCATCAGAACATTACAGGGCAACTGTGCCCCAAAGGGGAACCTTCCATTCCTAGCAGGGTGGTGGAGGAACAAAGGGAAGGTGACTGACCATTTGGAAACTCGGGCACTACCCGAGGGCCCGGGGTCAGTAGGGTCCCCATGAGATGCCCCTGGTACCTTTTTCATAGGCTTTTTTGAGTTTGGGCAAGGACACAGGGGCCCCATGATCCCCTATTGCCCGGGGGCCCCATGAGTTGTCAGTCTGCCCCTGGGAAAGTGATGATGTGCAGATGGGGGAGGGCAGTTAGTAATCCTTTTGTTATGCAATGTGTGGGTAAAGCACAGTTTCACTTAAAGGGTAACTCCACTTTTGTGGGTTAAAAAAATAGCAAATATAAAAAATAATAATATAACGTATACAACTGCGTCACGTTGTAACCCGCTCGCCCTATAGCAGAAGGGGGGCACGGGTGCGCAAAATCACATATATATACGTGATTTTACATTTCCGGGTAGGGGGGCGCACACGAAATGCGCGCACGCCCTACCCACACCGCCATTCGCGGCCTGCGGCTATCAATCACCGGGTCCCGGCAGGTGATTACTCGCCGGCGCCCGTTGATTGCCGAACATCTACAACGGGGGGAGCACTGTTCGTGAACAATACAGATCTCTCTCCGGTCAGCTCCAGCACACTGCTTTGTATGGCTCTGCTCAGCACAGCCATACAAAGCAGTG